GTGGGAGAGCCAGGCGACTGTCCCTGCTGCTGTTGCCGGGCAACTTCCCCCAGCCGCCTACCAGCCCTGTGACCATAGTACAGTCAGCTGGGCCAGTGTGCAATCAGCTAGGCAAGAGGGGCAGAAGGGAGCTGAAGGGTCAAACAGCCATTCTGCTGGGCTTGCAGCTAGTCACCCAGGCCTTGACCTGCACCAGCAGGCAGGTAGGAGGGAGGGGGCAGTCAGAGGGAGGCTGCTACTGTTGCTGCTGGTCACCCTGGGCTCTGTGCCCATCATTGGATTCCCCCTGGCCTGGCAGGCCCTCCCTGTACCCTTTCCCCCAGGAGGAACTTCAAACCTCATCTGCGTATGCATGCTTGCTGCTTCTGCTGCCTCTGCTGGACCCTGTAGCACTGGAGGAAGTTGTCACTGCTACCAGCCAGCTGGAAGGCATGCAGTGTGGTCCCCCAAAGCTCAGCAGTGCAGCTCCTTCCTTGTCTGAGCTCACACTGGGCTGAACTGAATGACAAATGGTTGCCAACACTAGACCTGGCCAGCAAGCCAACCCCCAGTTGGCCAGCGCTCCCATGCTGAGCCCTGATAGGCTCTCCCACCCTGTGATTCCTCCACGGAGGTGGGGGTAGGCAAACGCTGTTGCCTGCTCAATGGGCTGGCACTGGTCATAGACGTATACAAGAAAAAGTAATCTTAAAATTGTCTAAATCCCACTTATCTTCTCTGTCTTTTCTAACAGGGCCTGTAAAGTGGAGCTGTTTCGCCAGGCTTTTGATTGAGGCGGCGGATGTTCAACCATTCTGGCCTCCCCTGTTTGTGGCCCCTCTCCCAGTTTCTGCTGACAGATAATATTATTGGGCACTGGAGCACCTATATTCACCTGATATGAGCCATGGGGTTTGATGTTATTGTTTATTGTGCCATCGATTGTTTTATTGCTTTTACTGTTTAATGTTTTACTACATGTTGTAAGCTGCCCTGAGCCCATGCGTGAGAGAGGGCGGGGTATAAATTGAATGAATGAATGAATAAATAAATAAATAAATAAAACATATCTGTTGCACTGTTTTATACTTCCTGTACCGACTGGAAATAAGAATGATTTCCTTAAATTTTTGGGCGGGGGGAGCAAAGGTTAGGATACAGCCATGTCCTGAGGCAAATCCTGTTCTCCAGTTCGTACCGTGTGTCAGGGTGAATGAGAAGCATGATGTCTTACAACTGCTAGACCTTGTACCAAGAATATGGCAGAATAGGCCAGCCAATGAAAACCTTAATTCGGTATTTATACCAGGATTTTACTTTGATTTTAACATGGTTTTTACTAATGCAGATACCCAAATTAGTGAAAAGTGTTCTTTGTAGCGGTAAATACCATACTGGAATCATACTTCATTGTGCAAGAGAAACCATAGCTATTGATTCAGACCAAACTACTTCTTGTATTTTCATGGATGGACCTTGATATAAATATTTGAGAATAAATTTATTTAAATACTGTTGCCAAATATCTGTACAAATGTATTTGAAGATAGATTATAAGCAGCAATAAAATACTGTCTAATGTTTGAGAACTGATACCATTATTTTAAAGCCATGGGGAAAACATGGGGGAGTGGAAATAAAACTTGAAAAATATATAGCACTTCCTTATTGGTGGATAATCCGTACTCACTCAATGCAAGTGGTCAATGAATTTAGATATTTGGGGAATGTCTTCAGGTCAGATGTATCTTGATCTAAGTATATTTGGGAGTATAATGTATGCACTACTGTTCTATAATTAATATTTTTGGCTTTTTTTCCCTATGAGGAGCTGTTTTAATGAGTGAACTATTCTTGTAGAGCAGCAAAAAAAAATTAGTACGTGAAGGTGAATTGTGTAAATAGAAGACCTGATTAAATAAATCTTCTGTAAATCTCTCTCTCTCTCTCTCTCTCTCTCTCTCTCTCTCTCTCTCTCTCTCTCTCTCACACACACACACACACACACACACACACACACACACACACAAAAAGATATGGTTTTCAGGTCCAGTTGAATTACTTCAGAGTTCTTTTTTTGTAAAATTCTTGTCTTATTTCCACATATAGCTTATTCAGTTGTGTGCTTGAACTGGGTCTCCCAAAAATTGCTACTTTGATTTGGAAAACCATAATCCATTATAAATATAGGCTGCGGTCACACGCAACATTAGCCACGCAAGAGATACGGAAGACAAGCGGAGTTTCCGGTCGCGATCTCACCAGCACATCTGGGAAGCGTAGCGCTTCCGTGGCACAACTGAGGCTTCCTGCCGAAAAAGCGCAGCAAAAAACTAGTACCTTGGAGGTACTAGTTTCCAGAAACTGCGGGGCAAGGGCGGGCGTCTGATCGCGTTTCCGGTGGTATCCGGCGCCCGCCCATGTCCCCTTGCGGAAAAGGGGTTTTTTTTCCCCACGTCTCCGTGGATGCGCACACGCACCCAACGGAGCATGCGCATTCGTAGTGTACACAAAAAAAGACAACCAGTTCGCCGTAGTGTACACAAAAAAAGAAAACCAGTTCATTGCGCGCAGGCGTGTGTTGTGATCGGCACCTCTCCCTTGCCATGGAACCTCCACAGTACCTCCACAGAACCTCCACAGTAGGTCTGATCGCTTTACTGCATGTTAGTTTGCCCCGGGGCAAACAGCCACACTTCTCCTCTGCAGTTTCCTGCCCGTGTGACAGAGGCCATAGGCTACTTAATGGTGAGAACCTTCCAGAGCATACTTAATTGGCAGCTTGAGAGTGCTGTTGGTCCTGGTGGAATAAAACCATAGATTTCAAAATTGCACAAATGGCTCCTTTAAGGTCTTCGACTTCTTTAGTAGAGAAGGAAAGAATGTTGATTATTAAGAAGGTTTTTAAACAAGAATGGAATCTGTTACTTTCAAGATGTCAAATGGAAATGTTCCCCACTCTGAGTTTTTGCATGGCTTTTGTAAAGCCTGTGTGGTTGATGTGGCTAAATTTTTCTCTGCTTTTGTTCTTCATTCTTAAATGTTTTTCTTGGTGCATGGCTTATGGGCTGTTAACCCTGAATAAAGTACATTACATCCTTCAGTTACAACATTTGGCCAACATCTTGTACTAGGGTCTATGTTGATTCCTGTGCTTCTGTCTTGGCCCTCTGGTTTGTTCAGTTTCAGTTTTCCTGGCTGAATGTGTATTATTTGCTAGCTTGGTATGAATGATAAAAATTCATGAATAGAAAAACTAAACTGTGCTATGAAAATTAATAGTAATATTTGGGAATTCACATACTGAAGGACTGCCTCTCTCTCTGTGAGTCCATGCGTAACATTGTTTACTTTGGCCCACTGCAGGTGGCACATACTGCTGCTGTTTGCTTGAGAGCATTTTCTGTTGATGCTTCTGGGGGACCTCTGTCTCCATTCTGTCAGAAAGCTTGCAAGGCCATCTATGCCTGAAAGGAAGGATCGTTGAAATACAGTTGTTTACTGAGGCCTCTGTTTTTAAGCAAAGTATATGAATGGTTTTGTGTGCTAAATTTTGCTTGTAGTTTGTGCATAGATTTTTTATCCTGTTTTAGTGTAACCTGCCTTAAGCTTAATAGAAAGGCAGGATAATAAATTTTTCAAAATTAATTATAAGCCTATAAACTTCTGTAAGACAGTTTTATGTGCTATTACTTTCAGTGGTATTTGCACTCAGGGCTGCCAGACCCCCCCCCCCCTCCAATCCTGGTATTGCACAGGAAATGCTGTCATCACACTAGCAACATCTAGGGCTGCCAAGTGGGGGCGGGTGGCAGGTAAACTTCCACTTCGGAGGCCCAATTTCTGCCGGTGCGGAATCGGGCCCCGGGGGGAACTCCGCCCCGGCGTGCGCGTCACCTGGAAGCGACGCAGGCACGCTGGGGGCGGGGCCATGGCCATACAAGGGAAAACCCTATGGTTTTCCCTTGTATGGCTATGGCCCCGCCCCCAGCGTGCCTGCGTCACTTCCGGGTGACGCACGCACGCACACACACGATGCCGGCTGGGAGCCCCCCGCTCCCGGCGAAGAATCACTTGGCAACCCTAGCAACATCTGGGTGACGCTCTGGTATTTGGGCAAAGACTCTATGGTAGAAGCCATTTTTTCCATAGAGTTTTGTCCAGCTATCAGTGTTGCAGCATTGTCATGGTGTGATGACATCACTTCCGGTGTGATGCCAGTGATGTGTCTGGGCCTTCCTTTTTTTCCTGGTCAGTCTCCCCTGCCAGTTGCCAGGAGGGACCTGGCAACTCTATTTGAACTATGGGTGTTTTCTTGGGGAGGGGGGATGCGGTTTTCTTGTATTATGTATGGCTTTAACTTAGAAATGTAAGATTGAGCCACAAGAGAAAAGCAGAGTAGAAATAAAAACAAAAGCGGTAGCTATTTTTCTGATGCATTGGGTTGGGTCCAGCCATTTTTCCTGCTGGAAGAAAAGGAGGAGGTCTCTTTTGACCACCATATAGACTATGCTAGGGGTTATAAGACTTGCATGGACAAAAGCTGCATGTGATAGGGATTATAGTAAGTAGAGAAATCAGGTGAGATTGCCTGGAAAAAGCTGGATGGATCAAACCCTTGTTCAAAACATAGGACCAGTTTCTCCAAATAATTTTTTTCTTCTCCCAGTTGACCTTATGCTGCTTTACTTACCATTTTTCTGAGCTAAGGGTTTTCTGTTGATATCTTATTGTTTTCTAGCAGAAATCTTTTCTAGATATTCTTTCATGATTGCCTTGCACGGTTGACAGCTTTCTCCAATAGTGAGCATCCTCTGAATTTAAGTTTTTTAATTCTTGAACTAATATTTGGATTTTTTTTAGAGTTTCTTGGATTCTGAACCACTGGAAGGTAACCATGTTTAGTCTCCATAGCCTACATAACTAAGTTGTCTAAAAAGTCAAGAGAATAGTTGTTGCAGAATCAAAAAGGAATTTGAGCAACCATTTTTTCAACTCAGTATATGACTTTGTATTTGTAGGCCAGAGCCTCAACAAAAAGTTCCCTCTGCACCACCACCTCCTCCACCACCACCTCCACCTCCACCTTTGCCAGAGCCATCACCACCAGAACCTGAAGAGGAAATTTTGGGATCAGACGATGAAGAGCAAGAAGATCCTGCAGATTATTGCAAAGGTTAGTATGTGTGAACAATGTAACCATGATGATTGCCACTTGATGTGCTATAATTTAGAAGACCTCAAACTTTTAAATTGGAAATATCCTATAAATCAAAATAATTTAACCCTCCTTAGCTAGATGATACAAAAACTTGCAGTTTTTAGCCATTTCACATCATGAAATGGACAGCAGACATGGCAAGGCACATACCATTTTGTCAGGTTATTCAAAGGTGGTGGCGGGGGGGGGGTGATATTTTTAAAAATCTGGCATTAAGTATAATATAGCTGCAGTTGTCCTCCTCATTTCAGTAGACTTGGCCTTTTCCATGCAGGCTCCAAGGCAAAGGTTCTGGAGTGTTGGAATGAACAGGAGAATGATTTGGCAAAAGAGATTAGGTAGTTCCTCATTGGTGATGGGACTCAGCTAGGAAGCTGTCAGTTGCTAACATCTGCTTTTTATAAATACACTGGTCCTGTATAGCTTATCCTATGGTTCACATCCAGTGGATAAAATCTAATTCAGTGAATATTGAACAGCCTACTCAGTTTGTTTTCAAGAAAATTTAACCTAGTCTTATTTGATTCACCTTTATCACTGTACCGCTATGTGGTGCTGTGGTACATTTTGTCTATAAGGGTCCCTTGATCTTCAGCATAGGACTTTAGGGGAGGGCAGTTGGGGGAAGGGAAAGGCAGGAAAAATCCTGTCTCTGAGCTTTCTGCTTGCACTTCCCATAGAATCCAGCACACTGCCTTGACAGAGGATGAACTTGTACAGCGTGCAAGCATTTATATTCCTGCTGTATGGTACAATGAGCTGTTTCATCTTTAGGTTTCATTAATTTTCTATCACATCATGTGTTTAGAGGTCATTCTAAAATTACCTCAGAAAATCACATGTGCAATGGAAATTCTTTGCTATTACAGACCAGCTCTCATTCACTGTGGAGATGTCTCCCATTCACCCACTTCACAAAAGAACAGAATTTCCAACAATCATGTGAAACTATCCAGCTGTGAATACCAGTACTTTTAGAGATTACTCTTCCAGACTATTCTTGATTGTATTTTTCCTCAGGAACATTTAGTCGTGTTACACCTTATTATTTTTTGCATAGCACTGAATTGCATGATAGATTTTTATGATCTCAGCATAATTTTTCTGTCAGCATCTATTTAAAGAAACATCACTTTCAAGTTACAAATGTTGGTGTATTTTCCCACACAGAACAAGCTTTCATTAAGGCCTTGGCTTTTTTTTTTGTCAATTTTTTTTAAATTTAGGATATAAACATTCATAATCAACATTAATTTTTTTATATTTGTCCCTTTCATACCCTACCCACCTCCCTTTTCCCCTCCCTAATATATGGCTTCCCACAGTGCTTCGACCTCCTGCCCATCTCTTTATTAATTTTTACAACAACAATTTTCTTTTTGTAATTCACTAGGTAACTATTATTTCACTATAGTAATTAATTTTTAACATCCTATCTCCCAAGCATTCTATGATTAATAATTATTAAAACTAAACAAATTGTCTTTTACTTCCCAATACTTTTATAAGTATTCTTTTAGATCCTTCCAGTCATTATAGAAATTTTCTGCTTCCATATTATTCAACTTTCTTGTCAGTTTGTCCATTTCAACTGAAAATAATAATTTTTTAATCCAATCTTCAATCTTCGGGACTTTTTGCTGTTTCCAATTCTGAGCATACGTCATTCTTGCTGTAGTTATCATATACCACATCAGAGTTCTCTTTGATACATTAACCTCTTCCATTTTTAGTCCCAAAAGTAGTATTTCTGGTTCCTTTTTAAATGTACATTTCGTGATCTTTTCCATCTCTGCATGGATCTCACTCCAAAATTTCTTTGCTTTTTCGCATGCACCACATATGGTAAAAAGAGCCCTTCACTTTTTTACACTTCCAACATTTGTTAGACATATTGATATTCATATTAGCAATCTTTTTC